CATTGGTACTCACTGTTCAGTGATCAGTGCTTGTATTCTCTTTAGGTGCTACTGCTTTACTTAATTTGTTACATGACTCTACAGATTTTCCCCTACTGCTAGTGTTCATCAATCAAAAATTTCATTCCTTTGTTGTAGCGTGACCCAAAAGAGAAGAAGCACCCCTGAGAGGACGTTCCCCCAGAGGAATCTGGGGACGGAGAGCTAGGCTGCATTTTATGTGGTGTGGACAAACAGGCTGCAAAATGTATGTCTGGTTTTTCAGTGACGGTCTATTTAGTATTTATTGCTGTACTGACAGCTTGTTTAAGTAGTATATAGCTCTTAATCTTGGGAAAGGTATGGCAATTGTATAAAATCCTGGCTTGGGGTTAATAGGGAACAGTTGCTAATTTATTCTCATAATGTAAGATTACAGGGACATCAAGTTTAAAGCAATCAAAAGGAAATATTTTTTTACAGGGGCAAACTTAATGTGAAATTTGTGTCTCCACTCCTGTCGCCTGCCAGTTAAGCAGGTATCTAATTTGAAAAAAAAAAACAAACAAAAACAAACCAACGGGGGAGGGGGAAAGTCTCTGGCAGACTTTTCTTGTTTCACCTTTTGCAATGTTTTCAGCAAACTTGTATTTTGGAGCTATTGAGGGTATATGAACTCTGTCAGGCAGGGCTTGTAGACAGCTCTGCAGCACAGTGTCTTCTGAAGATATTTAACTAACCCCAGTTTGATTCTGCGTCAGCAGTTCTAAAAGCCTGAAATGTCACAGCCTGCCCCCAAGTCTGTCATCAGGTCAACAGCTACGCAGCAGCAAGTCTGATAGAAAACGTCTTTGCAAGGCTGATAACGCACTGACTTATGTCTCCTTTTGCAATAGCCTATCCAAAAGGAGAGCGGTTTTGTACAAAAGTAACATTTTTATTGTCCCAGCCTTGTTTAAGCAAAGATGGTAAATGCCAATGAAACAGGATGGGGGTGTGTGTGACTCTAAGAGGTAATTTCATTTTGCAACTCTCTTTGCTGGAGAGAGCAGTGATTTACAAACTGAAGTCTAAACCTCTGTGAGATACTTGCACATAATTACCATTATCTGGGAAAGATGTGCAGAGTTGGTAAGGGTGGCAGTATATTGTACAATAAAGGAGTAAACCAAATCCTTACATCAGCACAGTGCTTCCCTTTTGGTACCTTGTCATCTGTGATAAAGTGTCCTAGAGCAGTTAAATACTAAGGGAGTAATAGCAGATTTCTTAGAAGATTCTTGTGCTTAGAATTTCAGATTGTTAATATCAGTATCACAGATTTTACAGTTTGGGAAGAACTTCCCTCGGCAGAGGGAAAAGTAGTGATTTGCTCAGAATTAGAGGAAAAATACTGAAAGCATTTGGAACAAACTGGCTAGCCTTTGGACATCCAAACCTGTGCTCAAACTACTAGTCAATTTTACTCCTTTTTGAGAATCCAATACAAAGGTTCATATGCTTAATTATTTTCAAAAACCACATACTAAGGTTGTTCCCACTGTGATGGGAGCAACGTTTTAAGATTAAACATAAAGAGAAGTTGTAATACCAGTGAAGCTGTCAATAAAGTTCATTTGCAGTAAGAATTTTTCTGCTTTAATGGACAGCTTGTAAAGCATTCCTAAAGGTTTCCAGAAAGATTTCACTTGACCTATTGCTAAAGATCAGTAGCATTAGGAAAGTGATGTTGCTAGTCCCCTGCGTGTTTTAGTTAAAGCAGGTTTCCCTGACTTTCATTAATGGCAGTCCCTCTAGCCTGCTTCACCAGAGTGATATTTCTAGGGATTTAGGCTTTTTGATTATTTGTATTCTGATCTTTTTAATATGTTTCGAGATCCTTTTGGTCTCTTTGATGTGGATATAAAGCATGGAACCTTACACCCATATGTGAATGTCTTGTAATGCACTGTTCTGTCGCATACAGTGTCAATGTAAGTGAAAGTCAGCTTCAAATATAACTTTTATAACAATATTCTTTCTTTAATGCAACTCTTCTAAATTGAAAACATGCACTTGCCTATTTATTATTTTTACATCTGTAAACATGTAGAGATTGATCAAAAGCTTTTGAGCCCAAATGGATTAATTTTAGATTAATCAAGAAAGGTAAACAAAGCTCAAAAGTAAGATTCATAAGAAGGAAACGAAGAGGGTTTTCTCTGAACCTGTTGTAGTCAATAGATGGGATGCTTCTTTCCTTATTAAAAAGAAAAAAAAAAAACAAGTGTGTGATTGTTCTGACTTGCACTTGGCATATGCTTTCACATTTTGTAAAATCAGAGTCAGTCTGTACCATTATAATTTGGCAACATTTAGCAGACACTTTGCATAGATGTAAATAGATGCATACCATAAGGCAGCAGAGAACCAGACCAGTGGTCCAGGATAGTCAAAGTTGCAGTAAGTGGTAGAAAAGGGTTAAAGATTCTATTTAAATATACCATCAGCCAGCTCTCAGCCCTTTTGCCTTCAGAAGACAAAGAAAGGTAGGAATAAATATTCTTACCTGCTGCCAAAATCTTTGATGCTGTTTGAGGAAGGGAACTGCACAGTGATGGGGTTACTTATTCCATGTCCAGTATCGTGGGCAGTAGGAGTGGCACTCCTGATTCTCCCTAGCTTTCCATCCTGCAGTTGTTAATCCCGCTTCCTTACCCCCTTCTTGTGGCTGAACCAGTTCGGCCTTGGCCCAAACCCTTCCTCAGGCCAGATGGAAATTTGCCGGCACTAAGAAGCTTCAGGACTGTGGTGTGGACAGATGACTGGGCTCCCTAGCGCGCAGAGCCAGCAGGTACGCTTTCAGCAACAGGCTCTGGCTGCTTCATCGGAGTAATGATTGATGGTGACTTACACAAGGGTTAAGAGTAATACTTTGCTGTTAGCTGGACATGGCTACGGTAGAATGGAAGTGGAAATTTGTTGCTTCATTTATTCATCTGCTTCTGCTTCCTTCCCACTCATCCTTTGTGCTTTCTAATGTTGAAAAGATGAAACTACTTTGCTCAATCTTAAAATTGTTTTTCCCAAGATACTGTTAATTGTATCTCTACACCTTTTCTGATTCACAGATGCATAAGAAGATTAAAGATAGAGGGAGCAATAATAGATGTGGTTAGGTTTTAATAGGATCTGCAGAGGACGATGCAGAGTTTGAATGCCATAGAGAATACTGCTGCTCTATCTTTGATATCCCTAAGGCTGCTTAGGTAGTCTTTCACACAGATTCTGTCTGTGCTCTGCATTCAGAGTCAAGGCTCTCATTTTTCAATAGAGAATGTGTGTGTGTTTTTTTTTTTAAGGAGTATCTAGTTATCTCATCAAACAGGATGTTAAATTATAATCTGCAAAAATCATTGCAGCCATCATCTTACATTATTTGTAACTTGCTAAGCATAGTTTTGGACATTCAGTGGGCTTTTTGATAGCTGTCTATTGTGTTTCTGTAAGCGTCCAACGTTTTTGAGTGTCTAATGACATATGCAGTAAAGGGTTTCCGATATATCGGCTTAGTAGTAGTCCTGAATTCGTCAGACCTTCAGACACGTAATTGAAGATGCTAAGTGAAAAGCCTGTTTCAAATTTGGAGCCCAGGCTCCTTGAATAATTAGTGGAGAGGGGTGGGTACTTCCAGAAGATGATTCAGCACATCTGAAATCTGAATTATCCAGATTATCTGAAGCGTCTTTCTCTCTCTGCTAACTGTAAGGGAAACCCTCGTGCTAATTTAGATTTATGTGGGTATTAGGTAGGCAGTGGTGCTCAGTATTTTCTCTTAAGTTCTAAGGTTTCTCTTGGTATGCACCCAAGAATTGAGGCACCAAAAAGATCCAGTCCCATTTGAAAATATATGTTCATGTGTCTTTACTTTGCTGCCATTTGTGATCTCAGGCAAATTTCTAATGTGAAAAAAATCAGAGGACCATTGCGGGGGGGAGGGAGGAAGTGGTGAGCTCTGCCTATTTCATGACTCCCAGACCGTGCGCCATCCCCATATTACCTGATGTTCCAGTAGTGGATTAAGCAAAGTGAGTAGCAGCAGGTTCATGTATGAAGAGACTGCGTGTTATGAATCAATATTTAACATCCAGCTAGGTGCAGTATTGTATTTAGCAAGTGGATGTTGTGAGAGAAGTACTGAAGTGTTTCAGTGTTTCCCAAGACAATGCTAGGAGGAAATAAATGGCCCTGGTGAAAAGCTTTCCTAGTGTAGAGGAGCCAATACGCAGCACTGTACCAGCATGGGTCAAGGTCTTTCAGCGTAACATTGGTATCTCTGGTCCTGCTCTGTTGTAGTGGTTCACCAGGTAATATGAAATGGCTTTTATCTCAGCTCTTTTCCTGATGCCTTAGACTTCATTTCTCTGTTTTCCCCTAGCCCAGCCATGGCTGGAGATTCTAGGATCTTCATGAACCAGGACATGGACATTGGAGTTGCATCCAGAGAGCCTAAGAAGATTCCCAAACAGGCTCGGGATGATGTCCCCATTGCCACTGACCGAACCCGCCTCATATCAGCAGAAGGTAAGAAGCCACGCCAGCGTTACATGGAGAAAAGTGGCAAGTGCAACGTACACCATGGAAATGTTCAAGAAACCTACCGATACCTTAGTGACCTCTTCACTACACTGGTGGACCTCAAATGGCGTTTTAATCTTCTTGTCTTCACCATGGTCTATACCGTCACTTGGCTGTTTTTTGGGTTCATCTGGTGGCTCATTGCCTATATCCGGGGAGACCTGGACCATCTTGAAGATGAGAACTGGATCCCTTGTGTTGAAAATCTCAGTGGATTTGTTTCTGCGTTTCTGTTTTCTATCGAGACTGAGACAACAATTGGATATGGCTATAGGGTCATAACAGAGAAGTGCCCAGAAGGCATTGTATTACTCCTGATTCAGGCTATTCTGGGCTCCATTGTCAATGCGTTCATGGTGGGATGCATGTTTGTCAAGATCAGCCAACCAAAGAAGAGGGCTGAAACCCTCATGTTTTCTAACAACGCAGTGATTTCGATGAGAGATGAGAAGCTGTGTCTAATGTTCCGGGTTGGGGACCTTCGCAATTCCCACATCGTCGAGGCTTCCATTAGAGCCAAACTGATTAAGTCCAAACAGACCAAAGAAGGAGAGTTCATCCCCTTGAACCAGACAGACATCAACGTAGGATTTGACACTGGAGATGACAGGCTGTTCCTGGTCTCGCCTCTTATCATCTCTCATGAAATCAATGAGAAAAGCCCCTTCTGGGAGATGTCTCGCACCCAACTGGAGAAAGAGGAGTTTGAAATCGTGGTCATCCTGGAAGGAATGGTGGAAGCAACAGGTAAGGATTTGTCAGAATTAGCCGCAACCTTGAGGGGGGAAGGAGAAAAATGGAGTGCGGTTTGGCATTAGGATGTCACAGTTTACGTCGCCTGGACTGAGAACATGCTGAGGTTTGTCCTTTTCTGGCGACTGATTCATGTGGGATATTACGGTATGATACACTCGTATATATGATGGTACGGTATGATACGAGACAGTACGGTGGTATGATAGCAATTATGAGGTGAGTCCTTTAGCTCATGTTGTAATGTTTCATGCTTTTTTATGACCTGCGTTCAGGCAGATGGGTTAGACAAGGATCTGTCTGTAATCACTTAGAATTGATCCTCAGGAAAAAAGGAACGGGCTAAAGGAATTCATGAGGCCTCTTACCATCCTGTTTTCTCTGATCAGAATTCATGGTCCAACACTTTCCATTTCTCCTCTCCTCCAATTTGAAATCGACTGTAACTGTGCTGTTCTAGATATTGCTGTGGTGTTGCTCTTTAATGGAGACTGTGAAGAATGTGCCCGAGTATTCCTGTATCCCATAGAACAGCATGTGCTAAAACTGAATGACTTGCATGCGGGACATACAGTTTCAAAAGAAACTCAGAGGAAAAATACAGAAGTTGCTCTTGTGACTCTGGTGGCATGTAGTAGCTGTTTAACGACATAAAACAATGCTGTGTAATAGGTAGATTAGGAGATATACTCAGCTGATTCCCTGTTTCCTCCCATGGGTATGTTAATAGCAAGAGATGAAAGAAGCCCGCATCCGTATATGGTAAATCTGGAAAGGTCCTGTGCCTCAGCTTCCTGAAGTGCGGGAGGGGGAGGTGGCAGTGTGCCCCTCAGGATGATTGAACGAGTAGTTACAAAGGCCTCCAGGCTTATTTCTGCAGGTGGATGCAGTATGTCTCCCTGGGTCTGGCTAGAGAGGAAACGTATTTAAGTGCCCTGAGATGCCGATGCTCTCCTCAGGCAAGCTTTCTGAGCCGGGGGGCTGTCAGCGTGCCTTGGTTGTTTCAGGGCCTTTAAAGGGAATGGGGCTACTGGCAACAGTGGGGAGACAATTGCTATCTAGAGATGTGGAGACCTAGAAAGAGTCATAGATGCAAAAAAGCTTTTGCAAATAGTTTTGCCCTGTGGGATGTTAAGGATTTTAGTTACGAGAGGCTGTGAACCCAAGGTTACTTTGGTAGCGGGGTGGTTTTTCCATCTTGGTGAAGCATGGGTTCTCTCTAAAACAATAGCAAGGCCTTTCTGCTTAATGTAAGTACTCAGTGGTATCAGCACTCTCTCTTACAGAGTTTAGCTCTTGCTTACTATTAATATTGTTGCTTTGTTGTGGTTTATCCTTGTTAGTCTCCTAATAGCCAGACGTGAGAGGAAATGAACTCTCAAATTCCTGCATCCCAGGTCTCCGCTCTTACAGACAGCTCTCTAGAGAGCTAATTCAGTTTCCTAGTATTTCCCTTTAGTCATTACATGAATAGTAGTAGCTGAATTTTCCAGAGCTAATGGGTGGTTATGTGTAGACTCCGTTATACTTAGGTTAGAGTACTGTACCGCACAGGTGAAAGTAATTTGGAAATACTATGGGAATTACTAGGACAATATTCTTTCCCAGCAGACTATTGCAGGGATGTGGCTGAAACGCAGATCTGGAGCTGAGCATATGTAAATCTGATGAAAGTTTGATGAGAAAGCTTTATAAAGAAGATGTCCCGTTATAGGAGTTGCCAAAATATTGCTGGTGTGATAGTGGTGTTTCCTTCCCAGATTGTTAGTAACAAGATCCTAATGTCCACATAACTCGCATCTATTTAAATCTCAGTCACTCCACTGAATCACTTCAATTTGAAGAGGCAGAAAATAAGGTCGTCTCTAGCAGCCCATTTCTGTGGGCAGACAGCTTGGGCAGCCTTAAACTGCAGAAGAAGGGGTGGGTGGCAAAGATATCAAAGGGGAGCATTTGTAATGGAAGCTTAATTTGTAGCTTAATTACTAGATACAAGAACCTCCTAATCTGAGCATGGAGTGCAGTTTGTTCTATGTCCAAAGCCTCTTTCCTTATCACAAGACGACACTATCGAATTCTGTTTGAACAGCTATTGCACTGCCTTCCTCTTACAAAAGCTCAGCCTCTGCTTAGAGATGTGTGAGAGGAAGTCATTATCAATAACAACCTTAAAATTAAAAGCATGACATAGGAGTCATTGCTTTATAAATGGGCTCCTCTCCCAGAGGGATTGTACAGGCCAGTGTGTAATGATATTAAGGAGTATACATCTGTGGAAATTAATTACTCAGGTCTGGGAAGACAGGCTGTAAAGTTCCAAAAATGAAGCTGGCAGAGCCAGTTTGCATTGAACTGAGAGCAGAGCGGACCTCAGATGATGCCATTATCTGCTTCAGAAACTCTGATTTTTTGAATGAAGTATTGGGGGGGGGGGGCGCTGATGGGGGCTGATGTTTTGCCAGAACAAAAGCAGTCTGCAGAAGCACAGTGTTTTCTGCTTTCCTGCTTTGTCCTTTAACCTCCTAAGAGTGATAAGCCACTTTGGATATATGAATCGCCACCTCTGCATCTCAGCCTTTGCTCCCAGCAAATTCTTTAGGTTCTTTCCTTCCTCTTGGATTGTTCGAGCCCCATCTGCTTTCAGGAGTGGCATAATTCATTTGAAGTGTGACTTCTGTTATATCGTGACACTGTTGCAACCTCATCAGATTCAGGACAGTATCAAAATGCTACGGGCAATTTGTTCCCTTAAAAGCCCCTGTGAAAACCTGGGAACCACCATCACAGTGCGCAGAGGAATAACTGATTGGCTTATATAGCTTCTGTTCATGATGCACAAGAGGGAAGTGAGTCCTGCTCGCCCTCCCAGAGGTGGCTCAGCCCTGTAGTTGTTGGCAGGAATAAAAATTAATGGAAACTTACCCAGACTTTGCAGACAGCAACAAATCATACTCTGAATGCATCCTGCGCTGATGAGAAAAAGACAGCTACATTTTTCATAGGATGTTGTAAAAGCAGGTCAGACCTGACTACACTGTGATGATTGTCAACATGTAGATGACTAAAGAAACATAAGCACAACCAGTCTCTGATTAAAGGGATGAATATTTTTCACCACAGCATTTGGGACAGCAAATTTATATTTATTTCTAATCACTTCGATCAATTATACGTGTATTTCAAGTGCAATGCATTGTCACCTCTCAGACAAGGAACTCTGACATTGAAGTTAATTCTGATCCAGTTGAAGGAAAAGATGATAAATAGTCTCAAATGAAAACGTACCAGAAATTCTGAAAGGTTGAAAGACTTCAAGTCATTGGGGTTTTTTTTTTTGTTTGTTTTTTAAACAAAGATAAACGTGCTATTGTTTAAAATGGCGTTTTTGTTTTCAAGTTGACTTGAATTTCTAAAAGGGTAAATAACACACCAAAAAGCATACCAGGAAGCCTGAAATGCAGTGTTCTTATTTTACTGAAAAAGCAAACATTAGTCTAGCAACAGCTCTCCAGGGACCCCCAGCTATTACATGTCCTCACCCGCAAAGCCAGCTGTGGCAGAAGGCCCACTGACAGGGGTCTTTACAATCAATATTTTAGTATGATTTTGGCACTGTGACTCATCAAGAGGTTAAAAACACCAAGGGGAGACTGAGTTTCTGGATAGACATGCGGTGGTTATTCCTGACTGAAATGACCGCTGTAAAGGCAAAATCAATACAGATGACAAGTGTTCTGACTTCCAGTGCTCTTTGTGGGCATCTTGAAAACAGCAGAATCGCTCACAATATCTACTTAATGAATTGGTCACAGAGATTACTTTAGGGAATTAATTCTCTTTTGACTTACCTTAAAGGGACACTTGTCAAGATCAGCTGGCCCAAATTTGACCCCCAATAAAAGGGAGGGAAGCGAAGGTGGAAAATCTATTTGCAAAGTGAATACATTTTTACTTTCAGTGACTTCCTGCTTCCCACAGCGGCAAGAAAAAATTAGAGCCATCCAGTTGACAGAATAGGGCTAGGCTGTTGTTGGCCAAAACACACTTTCCCCTACCCTCTTGTTGCTTAACTGAACGTAGCATATCGAGCAAGGTTGCCAGAACCTACAAAAGCAGTTGAGATTCACACCCCCTTTCCATGTGCATGCAGAGTCAGCTGGGTTATGTGATGAACAGCTTGGCTGATTCAATTAAAGAACGTTAGAGAGCCCATTTGTAAATTTTTTTTCTGTAAGCCACTGTTCTCTGTGATGAAGCCATTTGCATATCCTAGAAGACTTTCTGGAAGAGGCTCTCTTCCCTTCCCACTTTACCCTTCCGCTGCTGTTCACTGACAGTTAATCGAAAATTGATTTATATTGGTTTATTGCAAACCTCATTATATGTCTACAGTGTCCAGCATTGCTGTTTTCTGGGCGTAGAGGCATCAATGCCTTGGTACTTCACTGTTGGTCCTCACTGGTTTTCATTGGCTCTTTTTCCTGCTG